TTTTCATATTTGTTCTTTGCTTATTTTCCTAACGACCACGGAAAGAGTAAGGTTACAACTGTCTCATGCAGCATAAGAATAAATTTTAGCAGCATGTTTACATAAAAAGCAATTGTATAGTCAGATCTACACGTGCCTTAATGAAGAGGCAGTGATACTCATGACAAAGGCAGCATATTAAGTCAGAGTTTCCCTTCAGAAGCAGTTTTTTAGTTTGCATTATATTTTCAAAATCCTCTTTTTTTTCTGGTTGTAGTTTGCTTGACATATGTATGCAACTCTATATACGGTTGTTGATTTTTGGTCATCAGTGCAAACACCACTTTTGCTATAAACACGTGAATAGGGTTCATTTGCTGAGTTGATCTATATGACAATACTTAATGTGATCATTATTGTTAAGCTTAGTTTCAGTTACAGTCACGCTAGGGTTGGAGGCCTCGGAGCCACCAAAGTGATTGGATCTGTGTGCAATCAGCTTGTGGTCAAGCCTTTCAAATGGTGTCTTTGAAGATGGGCACCAGGTCTGTAACCATGTGTAGTGAGTTACATCTTCAAAGTGGCTTTGGTCCATTAAGACAGTGATAAAAGGGCAATAAGATAAAAGTCAGACTATAATCAGCTGGGGTCAAGTTAGCATTTACATGCAGTTCGTTTGTAATAATATGGCAATTACCTGTTATAAACTGGGAAAAATTGCAAATCTGTTTGCTAAGTGTTGCAAATTTCAGTGAAGCAGTGGAATACCAAATGCAAGGATGGACTAGCCACTTGCAGCACAGGCATAATACATGATGACGTGAGGTGCGGCCCACCTTAAACAGTCAGCTTGATAAGCAGTTCATGGATTGTGCAGAATCCATACACAGCAGGTCCGACTCTCAGCCACAGACTCAATCAGAGTAAATAAATGTGGCAAATTTACAATTTATACATTTAGGAACAAACAAAGATGCAGCTATTTCATTTCAGCAATGATCAGAATTTTAGTAAGAGCGGTGCAAATTTGCTGCTCAAAAGTGAGGCAGCAAGTAATGTATTAACAAATATAACACAGTGTAAAAGCAGGTTTGGCTCTTGTGTTTCTCTCTGAAAACAGAGAAAGAAACAGAAATAAAGGGGGACTATAGAAGAACCAATAGGATTGTTTTAAAAGTGAGCTCTTCTGATAGAACTGTGTGTGTGGGCCCTGAGGACCAACACTCATGGGCGTGCCGGGTTTAGCTAGAAAAGCTGGTTTATTACAAACTATTTAAACCTGAAATCTATGCATAGCAGCGCAAATATGTGATGTAAAGAGCACAAAACATATTTTACTGTCAGATCCCGATCCATCTGTGTTAATGAAGATACTGTTTCTGTGTCACTCTCTGGGTTTTTCTGCAGACTCTGTTAAATTCTAGGTTCTTATTAAAGTCAGTATTATGTATTGTAACATTTATACATGAATCTATGTAATAGCACCTGTCAAGCAAAGTGTGCACGCTGCAGAGAAACAAAATGTTTTCATTGTATACTGGTCTCTGTGTAAAAATGTGACTAAAGCACTGGAATGCAGGAACATGTGGGGCTTGGCTCTCGACGCTCAGAATGACAACTCAGTAAGGATCTACAGGACAGAGCCAACGTTCTGGCTCTTGGCTCGCAGCTTTAAGCTGGTCCTGTGCTGATTGTGTACTTGTTCTGCTAACATCTCCCCAAACAAATGAGCACTCATAGCAGCAGCTATCACAGAAAAATCAGTCATGTTGATCTGGCATTAAATTCAACACAAGTTGCAGTAAAATGCGAGCCATGAACCTGACTAAATCAGGTTTGTGTGATTCGTTGGGTTATATTTCCACTTGGTGAAGCAGATAAGTTGTGTTCATCATCATCCGACTGACTGTAACCTGTAGTCAGTTTGTCTGTATTTAGAAACTAGATCAGGGTTATTTGGAAACCTTTTACTATTTGAGTGTGACGGCAGTCATTGCAAGTCTGGAGACAGGTTGACTCCCAACAGGCGACCTGTGCCTTGTGACTAAGAGAAGGGTGCTGTATGTTCAACTTCACAGCAACTACTTTCACATGGTTGCTGACAGCAAAAACAAAAAACAGTGCTGTCTCTCAGCAACTGTGTTTTTCTGCTCGCAAATAGGCCATCCTGTTTTTATTCTAGTCTGACTCAGGCTTAAGACCAACTACAAGGAAAAGGTACTTTGGGTATGTCTAAATTGTTTTGTATGTTTGTGTATTTTATTAGATTTCATTTCTAAGTAAGCACAAGAAGTGAATCCTTTACTACTGAAATAGATGGTCTGGAGGTGAAAATGGCCTCGTCTATTCCTATTGCTTTTCCCCTTTCCATGCAGTGCACAACACAGCATGTAACATCTCTGCAGGACCTGAGTAGTGCCCAGTGAAAACTGCTTGGCATTGTGCAATGTTGCTATGAACTCCAAACTTTAATTCTTTGATTTCGTCCTCCAAAAGTCAAGAACGATACGAGTTGGATTTCCTCATAAACTAAAAGTGTTCAGGGTTGTTCAAAATCAAATGCATAAAACAGAAATACTTTACTTTTGCAGTGTTCACATACAACTGTCATGCCCAGTTTCTTTTCATTTGTCTTATGTTGGTTCAGCCTTATCTTTAGTTTGGACACGTAAGGATAGCTGAAATTCTTCTTTAACAACATTCAATCAGGAGTACAGCACAAGACCTTTTAGTCAAGTACAAGTAAAATTAAAAATTAACCTCTTGAGATCCATCAGGTGGTTGGTGCTACTATATTTAGAACTTAGGATTAAGTTCACTGTTTGTACCCAAATGGAATAGAACAACAGTAAGTTTATACGTTTGCAAAAGATTTGAAAGTTAGTATCTTCTCGTTTCTGAAACTATGTTTGTGTTGCATTTGGCTAAAATACCACCTAACGCTGACTCTATGAGGTTTACTGGTGAGCTGACCTGAGCTGTTCAGAGTTTGGCATCATACGTTGAATTGCATTGATTTTTTTTAAAAGAAATTTTGGTTGTACAAGTATCTCCAAACAGGTGGAAAAAAGCATTCACATTTATATGCACTGAAAATTATTACAAGTATTTATTTTAGTCTCGTATTTAAAATTTTTCTTTTTGCCTTGTTTTCACATTAAGCCTTTTTATAATCTCCAGCTGAATACATAGGACACTAAAGCTCCGCTCACTCATTTTTGTGGGATCACATGAATATATTATATTCGTATATCCATCCAATCACTCCTTTAGTCAGCTAAATAATTTTCTCCAGAGTCACTAGATTAAAAACAAAACTATATAATCAGAGGAAAATGTTGTGTTTCTCTCAGGGTGGTTGTGGTGAATGGTGTGTGTGTTTTATAAGAGCAGACCTCAGTTCACCTCCCTGTGATGTCTGACCCGAGCCTTCCTCTTATCCTGGAGGAGAGTTTATTTTCTACCTTCATTGTTATTTTTGCCTTGCACGCACAGAATATGTACAAAACTACATAACACAAAGTTATAAACAGAGTGTGAACCTATACTTGTTAAGATTATTAAAAAGTTAACTGAGTTGTGTGATAATTTTGTACTTTGTAAAACTTTGACTCAGTTGTTTGTTGTCATCGGTCCCTGTGAAGACTTTGTGCTCATTTTTTGTCTTTTCTCTTTCAAACCTTTCTCTTCCTGTTAAAAGGGAGTTTTTCCTCTACACTGTTGCTCAGCCTCATCGGATTGTTGAGGTTCTCCCTCTTAATATTCTAAGGTCTTTGCCTTACAATATAAAATGCCTTAAAACAGCTGTTGAAGCAAACTGGCACTATATAAATAAAACTGATTAACAGTGAATTAGGAAAAAGCTTAGAAAAGGCTGAGTTGCCCATTAAAAGGTTTAACAGGCAAAGAGAACAAAAAGCTGCATCACAATCTCAGGAAGTAAAGTTTTGGGACATTTAATGGTGTCCCAATGTCTTTAAAGATTCAACCACACTATAGAATAAAAGTTAAGGTTTCCCATGGGAGAAACTGTCTTGAAATAAAGGAGCAATCACACTCCTGCAAGAATTGTTAAATAATAATTTAAAAAGATGCCAGATGTGTTCATTTTCATCTCCCCGACTTTCTTTCTTGGATTCTGCTAGAGAAGGTTTGCATGGTTCACAGTTTACAGTAATTGTTATCTCACCAGCAATAATCTTACCTGATTTAAAACTGGACAATCTCCCTTCAGTGTAGTCTTCTTGTGTTCTAAACACTTGCACTTGTTCAGTGCAGACCAGAGCAGACCAGCCAACATCAGTGAGTCTTATGTCCAAACCTAAAGGCAGTTCAGGAGCATTGTTCTTCTCTTATATCGAAAGTTGGCGGACCGGATGCCGAACCATAAAGACGTCACACGTGTGATATTGCAATTAACACTCTCAAACGTGAACAACATACCAGTGTGTCGGGTCAATCTTTACAGTTAGTTACTTTTATTAAATTTCAGCTGCTTGAATAAAATAATTTGCCAGATATATGGATATTATCTTACTTTTAGATGAAAGATAAGTAGAGATCTAGAACAAAGAGCAACTGAGCAAAAGAAAAATAGCAGGAGTACAGAAGCTGCTCAGAGCTGCACAAGATGACTGTTAACTGTTTAGATAATAACACAAGAGGTTAGCTACTAATGTATTGTCAGGCCACCATTCGGACATGGTGAATATTCCTGCGACTAGATCTTCTGTTATTCCTCGTAAAGATTGTCTCACTCCATGAATTAAACTCTCCATCTTCTCTGATCTGCCTGCCTGGTCACTGGACCCCATTGCACCACCTTCTAATTTAATCTTGTGTCTTTTGCCTGTTTCCCCATGCTCATTGTTCCAAGTTTTCCTATGTTTTCTTTGGATAATAAACTCGTCAAATTATATTCTAGCACCCATGGATCTGATTATCTGCTGTCTTGACAATACAAGGGAAGCTAGGGACAAAACACAGAGACAAGCCTAAGACTGACTGGACACGAAAGGGAACTAACAGCATCAAACCAAGGAACTAATAACCAGACACATAAATAACAGAGAACTAGAACCTACAAATCACATCCAAAACCTAAAAATAAATCATGAACCTACAAAGTTCTTAACACTGTGTCCACTGCCCATGAACCATAGCAAAACTTGTAACATCAAGTTAAAACTGAGGGCTATCTTCTAATTTATGTATCGTATAAAAACTTCACCAAAGGTTTGAGCTCTCAATTGAGAAAGTAGTACCAAGATTCAAAGAGAGATGCGTCTAAAGACCACAGAATAAATGCAGTATCGCTAGTGAATGACTTAGCTGGTGATTGATTGTAGTCTCAAAGAAGATGATAAGCTAAGGACAACCTGGAGAAAGATTATGCAGACTGGAGGTGTTTCTTTTTCTTTTGAGATTAAACTAGAGTTCATTGGCCATAAAGATGCTGCTTATGTTCAGAGAAAGAAGGGTGAGGGGTACAACCCAAAGAACATTGTCCCCACAGCGAAGCACAGTGGTGGAGGTATTATTCGTTGGGCTGCATCAGTTCATCTGGAACTGGGAATCTTATGAAGGCAGAAGGGCTAATGAAGAAAGAAGGATATGTGAAGATTTGAAAAAGCACCTCAAGCAGTCAGCAACAAAACTGGTTCTGGCCAGCATGATGAAAATATGCATCTCTCCTGATGAAGAACGATCTCCAGAAGACCAAAGGGAATTATTGACTGGCTTGCTCAAAGCCCTGATTTGAACCCTATTGAAAAATCTGTCGGGGGAAGTGAAGACCAAGGTTCATGCCAGGAGACCATCAAACCTGGAGGCGATTTGTCAAAGAAGAATGATCAGGTGACATGTGAGTCTTGCTGAGAACTACAACAAATGACTGCAGACTGTTATCCAGCAAAAACAATACAAAACTGACTATTAGCATCAGGAGGGCTAATAATTTTGACCCTGGCAGTTTTGTTTCTAAACTAATGTAAGCATCCATAATAAGACTTTTGAAAAAGCTGTGTTACAAATACCATGCTCTGTTTAACAGCTCTTGGGAAATACTTTTGAAATTTTCATAGTGCAACTAATAATTTTGTCCTCATCTGTAGCTGTTGGAACAAAAGCAGAAGACAAACTAGGAAACAAAAACATCTGAAGAAATAAAAGAAAAACATCAGCAGCACATCAGTGTTTGCGTCAACAAAGACTGGTTGTGTTGTTTGTTACGATGAACCCTGGATGAAATCATAGTTTTATACTGTGTATAGCACACAGAGCCTCTCCCTGCTTGAGCCTGACACATGAAGACATGCATCCAGGTTGGCACCCAGCATCATCTGCACCCTTCCACCATCTTCTTGAGCGGTCAATTCAATTATCTCCTCCCTCTTTTTACTTGAAATTATTACAATAACCACAAGAGAATGAAGATGTGAGAACTTTTGGTCATTTAAACACATTTAATGTAGTTTGCAGTCCACGATAAAATTATCAGCTATACAAGAACAATAGAAAGGAGTATACATATAGTGTTTCAGACTACACTCTGCATTAGAATATTTCACCTTTAATTGATAGGATGATGTCTGCAGTTCATTTCAAGTCTAAAAATAAAATATCTGGAGGACATTATTAAAAAGAATGGGCATCTAAAAGTCATTCAGATTTTTTCAAAAATATAGCTGAGTCCACCATCAAAAATTGAACAGCTGCTCTTTTACTTTCATACTTTGCTATTCTACTGCTCTAAAGAAAAAACCGATACATCGTGTCCTCACAAAGAGCAAGAGCGTTCTGTAAAAATCTCCTACAATGTTCAACTTCAAATAAGAGAGACTAGTTTTAATTATGAAGACAGTTTTTCTGCAACAGGTCTCTTGATTGTCATGAGTAGCACTAACTGGGATGGAGGTTCTGGAAAATATGTGATACTTTTGAGTTTATATCAAATTCTTTGCACTTGTAGGAGACCTCACAACGTCAACAAATCAATTACAACAAATCACGGACCCTTTGTACATGTAGAGGTTCTAGCAGAGCCAGGCTCAGGGAAAGTCAGCAGTGGATGGGAATGAGACTGCAGATAGTATGTCTCTACTCGAAAAAAATTACCCTGTGACCTGTAAACAACAGTCACAATGTGGAACCCAGTATTTGTCAGGAAAAAAACAAAACAATTTCAGCTTTATGAAATCTAAATAGGCATCTTCATTCTAAACATTCAGAACTATTGCAGGGAACCATGCGTTGTCATGACAGTAATATTTCTGATTTGGACAATGGTTACATTTTCTTTGCCTGAAATCTGCAGGTTTTCAGTTTGGTTGAAACAAACTTGTAATGACTGTATAGCTGATATCTGTGTTTTTCAACCCTGAAGGTTTCACGTGGCTAGTTATACTTATGAGCATTCAGAAATATATTTATGGCTGCATCTTGTATTTATGAGGGCTCAAAAAAGCTGGAAAATAATGAAGTAAAACATCCAACCATCTATATGTATTTTGAAGACTTATAATTTGAACCTTTTTTTCATCACTTTTTTTCATATACAAAAGTCTACTGATTGTGATGGGTTCAGATGGGTCCTGGTGCAAATAAGAAGGAAGATCTCTGAGAGGAAGGAAGATAATTCTTTGATATTTAGGAGCCGACTAAGATAAATACAGTATCCTAAAAAAATTGATCCCTAAAAAAACAGCAAAACCTACATATAACTTGAATCCAATCATTCCTCATTTCATATGCTTCCCACATATTCCTTCTTTTTCTCTGCTCCTCTACTTTGACGTCATCACAGTCGCCATCTGCCTCCTTCTCACTTAGTATCCTCCTCTGGCACACCAACCCTCTGCATGTCCTCCTTCACTACATCCATGATTCTCCTCTCTGTCTTTTCCTCCTGCCTGGCAGCAGCATATTATACATCCTTTGTCCAATAGATCTACTCTCCTCCTTAACATCTCTCACACCATCTCAGCCTACTTTGTTTCCAAAAGCTCAACCTAAGCTGTCCCTCTGATGCATTCTTTTCTGATCTTGTCCGTGCTGGTCACTGACAATGAAAACAGCTGCGCCTCCTGCTTTTTTTAGTAGGTGCCACCCTCTACAAGTCATATATCATAAGAGGTCTCCTTACCATCTAAACCTTGCTCTCTTGCTGCCATGTGTCTCTCACAAATCACCCCTGACACTCATCTCCACTCACTCCACCCTGCCTTGACTCTCTTCTTCACCTCTCATACACTGTGGGGTGTTTATCCCAATTATTTAAACTCATTTACCTATAGTACCTCTGCTCCTTGCAGGATCACTTGTCTCCCTCGCAATCTCTCTCTCTCTCTCTCTCTCTCCAGAGCATACCTCCACATCTCCAGGTTACCTTCCATCTGCTCTCCGTTCTCTCATAATGTCATAGTCCACAGAGACTGCTGCCTGGCCTCTGTGGACTGTAGATCCCTAATGCAATCCCCACCTTGAACCCATCTTACACTAATACTGCACACCTTCCCTACCACTCCTGTGTGCCTCTTCACACTGCGTCTTATGCTTTCTTCAGAGCCACAAACACACAGTGCAGCTCCATCTTACCTGCTCCATACTTCATCAAAACTCTAAAGAAATAAAATATTGCATCTGTAGTGCTCTCTGTATGAAGCTGTACTGGTCCTTGCTGCCACATCTCCTCTCAGCCCAGCTTCAACAACTCTTTTCCATATTTTCATGGTATGGTGGCATCAACTTTACCAATCTGTACTTAGGACAGCTCTGCACATTACTCTTGTTATTGAAATCAGGACTTGTATGCTACTTGTCCATCCCTCAGGCATCCTACCACTATCCAGGATCGTGTTAAACAGTCTACTGCCCTCTCTCCCTGCCATCTCCAAACCTCCACAGGTACGTTGTTTCATCCTCTTCATAGCTGCCCTTTCCTTCCTCCTTTCTAATCCTTTACACTTCCTGATTCACCAACTGACTTCTGTCCTTTCTCGTTTTCTTCATTGATGAGCTTCTCCTTCCTGAACACATTCTCTTCATTACATTTCCATCACTATCTTTACTCACCCAAACCTGCTTCATATCTTTTCTAACTCAATCTCTCCAAATACCCTTCTGCCAGTTTCCCTCACCACTACAGCTGTGCTTTCTCAGTCAACTAGCAACACTTCCTACCACCTGTATCAACTCAGCCTTGAACACTGCACATCATTCTTCCTTCTTCAGCTTCCACCATCTAAACCTCTCCCCTGACTTCACTCACTTCCTGTTGATCATGCCCACAGCCATACAAACGACCATCTGATGCTTGCTAGCTACATTGTCCCCTGACATCTTTCCCTTATATAAAGTGTTTAAGGAATTTTCTCTTCCACTTGTTGTCAGTTAAGTGCTTCATAACACAACCTAGTAATTACATTTTTATATTTTATTGAACATAAACATCTTGGATGAAAAAACTATTCCTATTAAAATAATCATCCTTGTAAAATTATCTGAATTCTGTAGTTGAGTTTATGATCATTTAAGTGGCTTCTTGTGTACCCGTTTCTGATATTTACTAAACAAATTAACATTTTCTTTCCTCTCCAATTAAATTGGGTAAAATGCAACAAAATTATACTTATGATATATGAATCGCTTAAATAGTGACACAGATTTTTTTAGGATTGTCATGGATGGAATTCGTTTCCTTCTTCAGTTTTCATCCTCACTGTCTAAATTAGGAGGGTCTTCTGACTGGAGCAATGGCTTGTTGGTCAGTTTATGGAGATCCTCTGTAGTCATCTCTGTCATTGTCCCATCCATACCGAGCTGCATGGGCTGTATTAAATGGTTTCTGCAGGATAAGTATTACAACAGAAATAAATATATACAGTGGGTAAACTAAGCACTAAAAAAAAAAAATTGCTATTTTCTAAGTAAATATATTTCTAAAGGTGCTATGGACATGGAAAAAGTATTCAACGCGTTTCCTAAAATTTATTTAATCTGTTCAAAAGCCTTTGATGATGATAACATCTTCAAGTGTGGAGCAACTAGTCATCTGTATTGCTCAGGTGTGATTTTGGCCCATTCTTCCACACAAACAGTCTGTGGGCCCCTTCTATAAACTCTGAGCCTTAGTTCTTTCCATAGATCTTCAATTGGATTCGGGCATTTCTAGCAGCTTTTTTCTCCCTTTCTCTGAAGCAAATTGAAAGTTTCCTTGGCTGAGTGTTTGGGATCTTTGTCTTGCTGAAACATCTGCCCTTGATCATCTTCATCATCCTGGAAGATGTTTTTTTAAATCAAGAATGTCTTGGTACATTTTCCCATTTATCCTTGATTCAATTATGTGAAGCGTGCCAGTGCTACACAATGTTGTTCCCACCTTCAAACTTCACTGTTAGTATATCTGCAGTGCCTTATGCCCTCCATATATGGTGTGTATTATGGCATCCAAAGAGCTCAAATTTCTCCCAGTATTAAACAGCCTTGTCTAAATGTTCTTCTGCACTTCAACATGCTTTCTCTTCAGCTGCGGAGTCTTACATGGTGAGCGTGCATACAGGCCATGGCAGTTGAGTGCATTACTGATTGTTTTCTCTGAAACAATTGTACCTGCTGATTCCAGGTCTTTCTGTAGCTCTCCACAAATGCTCCATGGCTCTTGAACAACTCTTCTGATAATTGTTTTCATGCCTCTGTCTGAAATCCTGTGGGGAACACCTGGCTGATTATGGTAAAATTATGTTCTTTCCACTTCCCAATGTTGGCACCAGCAGTGCTCACTGGAACCTTCAGTAGTTTCAAAATTCTTCTGTATCCAGTGTCATCAGTATGTTTCACAACAATAAGGTTGCAAAGGTCTTGAGAGAGCTCACTGGTTTATCCATCATGATAAACCAGTGAGGCATTTTTATAAGTCATCAGTTGGGACTAATTTGAACTAAGTGGCAGGACTGCTTTCAAGTTACTGATAATTTCAGCTGGCGTCATGACTTCCTATGCCTTTTTGCACGTCCTTTTCTTCACGTGTTTAATACTTTTTCCGTGTGTCATTTCTCATTATCACACATAATTTAATTGATGGACATCTATGGTTTGGTTTCTCTGCATGTGTGAACTGGATGAGTTTTTACCAACATCTGGTGCAAATTTCACGTCAATAGCACCTTTAGTAAAATATTTACTTAGAAAATCGGTGACATGTTCACACTTATTTCACTGTGATGGTATTAATGATTACTGCAAAATATTCTCAACAATCATATTTTAGATATAAGTGTTCATCTCAACCAAATATATTACATTAACCTGGTACTTTTTAGGCATTTCAGAGCTGAACTTTTACATATTACACCATAGCATTAAAGGCTTCTGTTGAAGACAACAACTTGACCAGTGCAGGTTACTTGTGTGACTGTGTGTGCTTTTAGTGACCTTGACAGTTTGTCAAACATGTGGACCAATTTCATGGCTTCATATTCCTTTTGCTCTTCTGTCATTCCTTCCATGGGATTGGGCTGCTCCTCTTCTACAACTCCTGTTATTGGGTTGATTCTGCAGGGAAACAGAAATATATTTTCTTTAAAAAAGCTAAATGTGCATAACAAACAAACAAAGATGTAAAAAGAATTCAGCTGAGGTAGGGGTGGGTTTTGATTATCGATTTATCGATTAAAATCGATTTTGGCTTGGATAACATGACATCGATTCATTAAAATCCTGAATCGATTTTAAAATATAAATTTATTTTGCCCGAAACGCCAGAATCTCAGGTTAAACCTCACAAGATTTCTACAACCAGAGCAGGTACACGGATTCTGCACAAAGACGTAAACACAAAAACACGGACCCAACGCATCCGAATCAGTGAGATGTCGCCTTTCTCACGCGACGGCACGTACGCGGACACGGACACGCCGTCGGGGCTGAAAGCCGACAGCTCACTGACTTTGAAGCGTCGGTGGGCGCTTTGTGTTTACGTCCTTTTTGCGCTCGATTCTGAAGCTGCAGGTTTTATCTCTCTCCAAACAATATTGACTTAACCAGCAGCCAAAGACGATCCAGCGTTGGTGCTCCCCCGGACAAGCTAGAGGAGGTGGCTGGGGAGAGGGAGGTCTGGGCTTCTCTGCTTAGGCTGCTGCCCCCGCGACCCGGCCCCGGATAAAGCGGAAGAAGATAGATGGATGGATGGATGTATAATATCACTAAAAAGCTATTCTGTCCTATTCTATTCTTCATTTGTTTTGTATTATACCTTTACCAAACACCATATTATAACATATTATAAATGATACATACATACATCCCTATGCATCCTCAGCCACATCAAACACTAGTCACCACTCATAGTCATCACTTAGTTGTAAATATATTTCATCTTATGTCCTGTTTACTTTCTTCACTTCCCTGACTATCCTGCTTTTTCTTTGCCAACCTCTTCCTTTGAATACTTTCCTGTACTTCCTTATTACAACACAAAGTCTCATTGTCCTCTTTTCTGTGTCCATAGGATACACCAAATACATCGTTGGCACTTTCTCTCATCACTTCAGCAGTCCTTTCCCAGTCATTTGATAACTCTTTGCTACCACCCAGAGCCTGCTTCAACTCTTCACTGAACTCTATGTAATATTCTTCCTTATTCAGCTTCCATCATTTAATCCTCGCCTCTCTCTTCACATACTTCCTCTTCTTGATTTCATAGTCATCCTACAGACTACAGACCACAATCTGGTGTTGCCTAGCTACATTCTGTTCCCTTCACCTGCATGTCTAATGAAGTCTGCTCTAATCACTGCTCTCTCCCTCCTGTGGGACACTCTCTACCACTTCATCCAACTTCCTCCAGAATTCCCTGTGTGCATACACCCCGTGATGCACACACGCTGACAACATTCAATACACCCCCCCACCCACCCCCACCCCTTCGATTTCCAGCTACAACTTATGATCCTCCTTAAGTTGTTAAAAATGCAAAGTAGAAATTTTGAGAAGGAGCTGACATAGTGTTCTGTTGGTACTGACTGGGCTTTGGCCTCTCTGTACTCTTCTGTCTCAGAGTCCTCATCCTCGGAGTAGATTCCAGGGTCTTTACCTCCTCTAAGCAGTCCTCTGGCAGCCAGCAGGCCTGCAGCATTGCCGTATCCAGTATACTTAATGAACCTTGAAACTTGAAAGAGAGCATATTACTGTTAAAATGGCAGCATTCTAGCACAATAAAAAGAGCAATGAAATTAGGATCATTTATGCACCTGACGACCTCAAAATAAGATGATATTTTTTGTCTAAGCATGTCCAGTGAAGAGATGCTTCATACTATAAAAACTGGCTTTCAAAGTCTATCGGAGCAGGTTCAAAGTTGGCTCTTTTTAAGTCACCTTAATTTTTCCAGCATTTATGAATTCTCGTAACTTCATAAGTACAGGAAATAGCTACGTGACATTTTTATGGATGAACTTTAGTTTCTACTAAAAAACGCAACCAAATCAATTTTACACCTAAAAATGTCTTTAGAAAAAAACTTTTTATATGTTTACAACAGTGCGAAAAATGTTCGCCCCCTTCCTGTTTTCCCGTATGTTTGTTACATTTAAATGTTTCAGATCATCAAACAAATTTAAATAGCAGACAAAGACAAGACAAGGAAACACAAAATGCAGTTTCTAAATGAAGGTGTTTATAATTAAGGGTGAAAAAAAATCCAGACCCACTGGGCCCTGAGTGAAAAAGTGAATCCTGATGTCTGGCTATCTGTTCACCACCTCAAGCTGAAGTGCACTTGGGTTCTGCCTCAGCCTTAGTCTCACACACTCTTCGTCCCGCTCCCCTCAGGCAGGAGGCTGAGGAGCATTACATGCAAAACCACCAGACTGAGAAACAGCTTCATTCCAGATGCTGTGAGACTTCTCAGTGCATAAATGGACAAGAACTGATATTGTAGCACCTTAATCACTACTGACACTTACTGACACTGTCATTTTATCAATGCGGGTCATCATGCCCTTTTGCTGCTAAAGTATTTATACCTACATTCTATATCCATACTCCATACTGGTACTCAGGTTGTTGCACTCTATTTATCATATTATTTATCGTGTTATTCTCTACTTGTTATTCTGTTTTGTTTAAAAAACAACAACTATTTATCTATTACTTTTTTAAAAATTCAGTTTCTTCGTTATTCTGTTTCTATTCGCTCTGGGACCGTGTGTACATCATGTCGTTCCACCTCATGTAAACATGTGATGCGAATGACAATAAAGCTCCTTGAATCCTTGAATTGTGATTACTCTGTATTAAAAGAATCTTCCAATATAACATTTTTATGTACAGCTATTTGGAGCCTTCAGTCCTTTGTTTGAGAATCTTTTAAATTTAGTTAGTGTCGGGTACTCGTTCTGTCTGTTTCCACTGTTTCCATCAGATGGCATGCAACTGTCCCTTCTATTGTTGAAAATGTAGCAAAAAAATACTGTTTAACAAAGACTTTGTTCTTAACATCTAGAAATATTATAAGATGCCAACACTGTTGGGTACTGACTAGCATTAACTCGTAGTTGTTAACGTATTCACGATCTTGAAGGTAGTTTTATTTTCTTTGCAGACAACCTGGTGGGTTTCAGCTTAATTTGATGAACTGAAACAGCTGTTTCCAGGGACGGTCTTGCTAGTTTAAAAAGTTCCATAAACCTTCTCTGTTGTCAGTAATTTTGCCGGCTTAGCTGGATCTTTCAAAGAGTTTCTGTGTAGTCAGGATGTGATCACATTATGTTTGTTGCAAGCTAGTTCTTGCTGCAAGGCGATTAATCATTACAGTTACATGTATATACCTTTGCCATGGCAGATCTCTGCAAAAAGTTGTCTTGTTGCACATATCCTCACAGACGGGCTATGACTCTTCCAATTATATTAATTTATATTAAATATACAAGCTTAACATGCTCACGGGAAAACTTGCTTTGATGCATTCTTGGTTATCATGACAGAACATGTTGATCATCAAAGATTTGCTAAAGTTAGTGCACAACAAAAAGTTAACTGAATTTTTTTCTCATATTTGACTAATTTTAGATGAAATGACCCAGTGCACTCACTCCAGTATTCAGGAGGAGCTACTCAGGAATTTGTGGTTTTAAAGGTTCAGTGTGAACTTATTTTTTTCTGGAGAGAAGGTGGAGTGACTTTAACATCACCTGTGTACCTTAGTGATTGCTTCCCTCTCATCAAAAAAGTGAGTTTGCATCACTCTCTCTCACCACTTTCTTTGCAGAGAACAAAGAGGAATTCAGCCGCACAGTCCTTGACGTCAGTGTCAATGAGGGTCATAAGGCGGACTATTTTATTCCTCAGCGTGTTGCCCACCTCTGGCCGGTTTTTCACATCACGTAGTGGTGGCAGCACCTAAAACACAACCCACACATAAACATATAAGAACAATCACAATAGCTAAAATGTTCAGAGATAATCTCTGTAATCTCTGAATAACTGACTTTTGACCTGAGGAACTTCCTGGTCTCTCTGTGGATACGGGCACTCTCGGTCAACAAGTTCAGAGATGGAAGAAGGGTCTCCTTCAGCTTATGACCCTTTGAGACAGACAGACATGCAAACTTGTCAGTTGTAGGAAAGCAGCTAAAATGTGGATTATTAGAGCACATTTTAAACAACCGGTTTGAGACTTTCAAATGTAATGATCTACAATGTGGATCTGAGGGCAGCAAATGAGACACGCTCAGCCTGGTTTGTAGTAAACATGCCTTTGTCAACAACATAGCAATTTGTTATGAATTTATGTTAGATATACTTTAGTGCACCTCAGCTTTTATTTCATATTAACTGTAGAGGTAATGAACCACCAACAGCATGCACTTGTGGCTCGTCTTACCCGGTCAAGTCTTTTCTCCATGAATTTTAGCAGCGTGTTCACAGCATCCATGTTGACACCCATATATTCAATGGAACCTTGCTGCACCTTGGGCATCAATAATACATCCAAACAAGGCAGAGGGAGGTTACCTAGTAAATTCACAGTATGGCTGAAAAAAGAAAGGACAAAGGAATGAAGGGCGTGGCGTCACAGGGGAGCAATGACTGTATAAATCAAGTAACCAGAGAACAGAGAATCACCTGTGAAACTCTTCAGTCCGCTCCTCTCCATCAGCGTGGCTCATTAGACAGTGCCTCAGTATGGCTCCCAAATGTCTGTACACAGCTGCCTCTTCCTTTACATATACATCAGACACAAGTTGTTCACCAGTCATGAAGACAACTCTCATCTTTCTTTGAATTTACAACAAAATGTTTAAATCTTGTGACTCTCTCCTAATTAATCTAATTTGCTTCGTTACCTCATCAACTTTGCGTCTGTTTATGTCAAACGTGATGTTGAATAGTATTTTCAGTATCTCCATAGCTAGTTCTGTCTGCTGCCGGCTCAGTGGGGGCAGCTCTTCGGTCGGGATGCCTTCAAAACCTGCTCTTGCTGTCTCCAGGGTCCCTGAGCAGCATAGACCCAGTGTGGCTTCCAAGTGGTTTCCTTGAATTACAGACAAGACACAAGTTATCAACAGGTTCTTTAGGTTTGCTTAATTGTACCATGTCTTTACCAAATTTACTTCATCTGGATGCTTTCCTGATAATGTTTGTTTGTTTTGGGGGTTTTTTAACCTTTTTTTTTTAATGAAATGAAAATAAAATGAATGGGTTTTTGAACTTTAGTCAGCTTCAGATCTGACTCCATCTTTTGGGCTAAGGTCCACCTCTCATATTTGTTTTTCCATATTCATCCAACAAAGAAACAAAGAAAGCTAAACCAATCACACAACATCCTTGGAAAAGGTAACTAATCACCTAGAAGGCTGACACCATGAAGCTCCTGAGCCAGCTGTGCCCTGACATCCACTCTTAGGGCAGTCAGCAGGAAGGTTAGGCGCAAGTCAAAGAAACGTACCTGGGAAGAGAAACCTTATTTTGAAATCAGCTAGAATGCATATGTTGCATTCTAGCAAATATTCAGTAACAAATACGCTTCAAAAACTACATCTGCCAGCTATAGTACTCCTTTAAAAACGCAATAAAGAAACATTTACATTACAGTTGTCATAGTGCTTGGTCTCTGACCCAGAGGTTGTGTTTGGAGACTAAATTTCACTCATCATGATTACTCTGGTTTGGTCTTGATGTTTTAAGTCTCTGCTTTAGAGCTTCTCTGTGTCTTTCCTCAGTTTGCCTTCAAGCTTCATTTTACTTATTGTGCTTTTGTGCTTTCCCTGTATTTCCCATTAAGTCTGTGTTGGTGTAACATGGCCCTTGTCAGCTACTTCCTGTTTATTCTGATAGTGTCTTCATGGTGCTGTGTTTTTTCTTTGATTCCCAGTGCTGCCATTTTTGTTTGACTCTACAGTGAACACAACAAATAATTCTACATTTGGAAAATCTCACATTAAAGAGCTATCTGTCTGAGTAATGGTCATACCTCATAGTTCCAAGTAGGATCATGACACTGTTTCAATCTCTCTGCAACACCTTTAATCAGCTGCAGATCTGCTGCTACCATCTGACATCAACCCAGTGACAGAAATCCAGTCAGATTTTATAGATTATCACCAACCAAATAAAATGTGTTAATCTGAGGAATGCAAGGCACAGCAGACTGACCTGTCCTGTCTCATTGTGCAGCAGGATGTTGCAGATGGACTTGAGTGCCTCAACAATCACTTCCTGGTCAGGATTTTCTGAAGGAGGGGAAGATTCTTTCAGCACTTTACTACATAGTCCCGTCTCTTCCTCGTCTCCTCCCGCATCCTCTTCTAAGAAAAGAAAGATTTGCAATTTTGTTTAGCTTGGTCTGCCAACAACATGAACTCCCTTCAGCTAATCCATGATGTTTATTGATGGAGGAGAAAGATTATAAAGTATATGTCATGATCCTGGGTCTTTTGACCCAGCGTTTTGTGTTTTCTATTATTGTGATGTATTTTGGTTCTGGTTTTCTAGCTCTTTGGTTTTTGGTTCTGTTCTTCCTCAGTTAATGTCTAGTCATTTCTGCCTGTGTATGCCTCTGTGTCAAGTCCGTGTTTCTTAGTCTGTGTCTTTGCATGTGTGAGTTCTTTTTTTATTTTGTAGGTCTGTGTCTCTCGTCAGTGTTTCTAGTTTCACTTCCTCTTGTCTCGTTATGTCCAATTACTCCCAGCCGTGTCTCCCTCCTGTTTCTCGTGTGCATTGCTGGTTCATCTGCATAATTTCCATCCGTCATTCTGTGTTCTTTCCCTGCATCATCCTGCATCATTTTCTGTGTCTTCTTGCATCTCTGTTTCAAGGTTTGTTTTTGCTTAGTTTTCCCAGTTTATGTTTTCTCAATTCTGTTTTCAGCCCCCTCGCCTTTTTGTATGTTCACTCTCCATTAATAAAGCTCCCTCACTTCAGTAATGCCTGCATCTTGGGTCCTTTAATAATTCCACACGGTTTGCCCTGCTAACCGTGACAGTATACAATGTTTAGGGGACAAAGAACTGGATTTCTTTTGTGCATAATACATCTCAATAAAATACATCTCAAAAAAGTTTTTTCTATTATTTAATTCAAAAAGCTCGCACTGTGCCAGCTGGGATGGGTCCCATGACCTCTGATTTTCATGAGCTGGGATAGCTCATGAAACATTCAGTTTAGAATAATAGTTGAGTAAATTACTAGTTGAACAGTATGACTGGCCTAATAAACACCTAACCTTTTGTTATCCTGCCTCTTAGTATCTGCATTTTAGTGTCTCCTCATCAACACTCTGCACATCCTGCATGTCGTTTTCTTACGAATGTACTAAACAAGTAGTTAACTAACTATTAATTAACTATTATTTCTGTCTTTAACCCTCCTGAGTTTTTAGATTCTTTCACATCACAATCTGGAAGTGGTACAGCTCACCAAATAAGGCTACATGGCTGGGGGATCTAATTCTGACATGTTAAACTGTACTGTTGCATTTGATTGTGAGTGCCTGAGAGCTGAACCTGCTCTGCTCAATGTGGGGCTTCTACATTCTCTCCTCACTTGGAGAAAATAATGATGGAGCAGACAAGTTGCTCATGAGTGCAGACTGACTCTGACTGATTGCAACCTGTTGACAATTTGTCTGCTGTTTCTAATTAGATGGAGATTACTTGCAGACCTTTTCCAATCTGTCTGAGAATGACTGCAGTCAGTCTGAGTCAAACTGAGACACATTGCCTCCCACCAGGTAACCTGTGCAATCGCAAAAAAATTCACTCACTAACCATCAGTTTTTCGTGGTTGCACAGAGGTGCCAATCTATTTGTCCTCTTGTGTGACTGAGGCCCCTAAGCTACAGAGGGTCTGTCTGTTCATATACTGTCTGTATTGAAGCATATTCATGGAAAGTTGATGGCAAAAAAGGTGGTAGAATATGCAAGCAACAAGGATGAGAGCCTTGACAGAACTGTCACAAAAAGCTAATTCAGGAACAGTATTTGTTATACCTACGTAGGTTTCCTAAGTAAAGTCTATGTTTCTGAACTGATGAAACTGAGAGTGAAAATGGAATTTAACTGTTAGATCTTCAAAATCAAAACAAGTCTTCATAACAATATATTTGGAATTACATCTTTGAATTCTCAAAACCTAAAATATAATCCTTTCTTGCTCTGGAAAGATGATGCAAAAAAAAAAAAAAAGGATTGATACCTAGCAATATTAATTACCTTGGCCATCCACTGACTGGCTGTGGGCAGGTGTGGTAGCACTGTCCACAGCAATGCTAGCATAGCGGGCAAGAGTGGACATGGCGAATTGGTTGGTGAATGGGTCCAGGCAATTTTTATCTCTGGACAGGATTCGAACCGTTTCCAGACAGGCCAGCAGACAGGAAGGCTGCAACTCCCGGTCCAGGAAACCGAGCACTAACTCCCCCAGATGCTGCGTTGCACATAAACATATATATATATATATACATATACATATATATGTGTGTATGTATTCATGGAGGAACAGTAGAAACAGAGCAGAAATTGTGTTAGACTGTAGGCTATTGATGTTCATCAGCAGAGTACACCTTCCTTTTTTGTGCAAATAGACACATACATTTATTTAAATAGGCAGATTCACATTTTAAACTGTTGAAAAATGAAACACCAAATCTGACAGCTATATCTGCAGCTTCTGACCTCAGTCTGAATGAATGTCCATCACACATTTTAAGTCAGGCAATGTTAGAACTGATTTTTGATCCATTTGCAGTATACCGCTTCTGTTTTTAAGATCATTTTCTGACTAATTGTAATGAAATCATGACCGTCTTAAGACTGCCAACAAAGTGAAATGTGTTACAGAAAATAACAGATCAGTGAGTTCGACCTACAGCCAGTGGTGAACAAATGATTGCTGTTTCTTACTGAGGATGGGTAACACAACAGATGAAACTGTACATTGAAAACTGAAACATGAAAAACACTACATACTAAACAGCAGTCTTACTGATAGTGACAAAGTATTTGCAGTGCTAATGATAACGGTCCAATGTCAAGGGGTTTCCTTGATAAAAAGCCCCACACTGTAGTGACCAAATACAAGGAGCTACAAAGGTTGCTAAAAAGTTTCCTAAGCTGTCATGCACATCTACAAGCAGGACAGCTTAGCAGACCTTCAAGTAGGTGTATGCTTAGTGTGGGCACATGATTATTGGATAAAGAAGCCATGCAATAGAACTTTAGCTTCACCTTAAATAAACCTAAACATTTAGCACTGAACAAACTCACCTTTCTTTTCCACCTTAACAATCAACTACAGTTTCTGTTTGGGTCTGTTTCCTACTGGATGAAATGCTTCCTTTTATAGGAATAAAGCTGTTCTTCTATTTATCAGAGAGGAAAACACTTTGGAAAACAGTGTGGTTTCCAAAACCAGATACATTTTCTCAAACAGAATCTAAATCATACTGTTTAAAAACATTTTCAGATGCTTTTTTAAAGGATAAAGCTGCTAAATGCAGAAATATTGTTTTGTTTAAGTACATTTTTAGATATTTACTGCTTTCTGAATGAATTGCAGGTGTATTAGATACAAAATCACAATAAAACTAATCAATAAATGTTCTAATGTTCTATCTTCTCAGCTATTCACCTTAATCAGTTCAAAGATTGACTTTCATCAATACTGAATAAACTGTATGAGGTTTAGGCCATGAATGAATTTGAAGCAATATACTTAATGATAAACCAGATTTCTTTTTTCTAATCTTCAGAACTGCTTCTTTCTCATTAGTTTTTGTTCTTGTGTTATGAATCATCAGAATATCTTCTTACAATCAAAACTAATATGCCAGCACGATTAGTGTTCAAGCAAATGAATAAATCAAAGGTCTTCATTTCATAATTCCCATTGGATTCCATTAAACTATTGCCATTGTGATCTCACACCTATTTATAGTTTTCTTTAAACCTTTGAACTGATTACGTGTGTTTACATCTTCTGACAAAAACCCACAGTTTATCCTGGATTTACTCCAACATTATATAATATATCACTTACTCGAGTATTCTAATATAACGCTAAGGAAATGTTAGAACAGGTAAACATTTAACTATTCATTTTACAACAGAATCAACCTATAAGAGCTGGTTTTCCATTTCCTATTCTGCTTATCCTGAGCTTACTGCAGGGAAAAGGCCGTGTGATTCATCCCCTGTCGAGCACTAGTGCCAATAATCTTAATATTAATTGCCAGACAGATTTATTTGGCAGACAGATAAAAATCCCCATTCCCAAGAATTCTGTTATAAATAGTTCAGTATGTGTAAGAAATTTCCAACAAATTTTCACCAGACGTGTGTGAGCTGAGGAAACAGCAGCCTTCAGGGTTGAAAAATGAATCCGGCATGTTTGTACCTTAAATTAAAAATGACTGCTATGCTAAAATAACAGACTGTGAGCCTTCCACTTGGATTCTGTTTGTATTTATTTCTGTATGTGCTGTAGGTGTTATTGTGTTAAGTAGTCGAGTCAGAGATGGAAAAAAAACACTAACAGTCTGTGACTAGTCTGCAGCTCTCATTTGACAGGAAGGTAAACTGGCTTAAATGATGGAGTAATACCATCAGGGTTTGGGTGGTTTGTTGGGTTTTCTTTGACATGTTACTCATTTTTAAGTTTTTTTTTCAACAAGTTGCTTACCTTATATATTGGTATATGGTATCATGGATCCAGCTGAGGAACAGCTGAAGAACTTGTAATAAACTAAACCACATTTCAAATTAAAAGTTTTATTAAAATTGTGTATAGACCTGTGTATATACATGTACATATTATGAGGTCTGGCTCTCCTGAAACAGTATGGTGGAAGCACTGATGTTTTGATTGTGAACAGCAGCAAACAAACAAGAACATGTTTCTTTGTAACTTTGGCAAACAATCTATAGAAAATCACATTTAGCATTTTAGCTTATCTTGTCTGGCTAATAATTCTGGAAATATTTATTACAATGTACATACTGGTTTGGACACAAAGTGTGTGCCCCTCCAGTAATGTACCTGTGACAGCCAGTGAGCTCGCCTTGTTTTTTTGGTTTCTTGTTGCCTGTCTCTTTCCGGTATCTGGTGGAGCTGACCCAATTATAGATGCAGCACACCTGAGAAGGCCAGTCCCCTTGCATTATAAAGCCACTTTGACTGAATCTCCAGCTCTCCCTGTCTTTTGAACACTGAAACAAGCTGCAACTCCCTCAGCCTCCCCGACACCAGCAAACAGTTTGTACAGATCATAGATGAAACACAATGACTTCAGTCACAGTTACCTTGAGAAATCAAAGAGCAGTGAATACTGTCCAAATCTGACAGCATTTTGTTAGGCCAGTGTTTATGAACCTTCAACTGACGTAACAAGAGCGACCCTATCAACTTCACAATTATGGGATGTAATCTATTCACAGCTGGCCAATCACTGCCATTTAAGAGCAGATCATTACTTTTCCTCTGGTTAAACACACAGATCCTTACAAGCATTTGATAATCCCCGAGAAGTAAATCACTCCCACTGTCATTTTCATCTCATGAATTATTTATATCCTATAATGAATTCTTAACAGGACCCCATCCAGAAAGAGTCACAAGTTGAAGATAAACTGTGGGTTCTAGGTTTCTAATGGAAGAGCACAACATGGTGTTCATTGGTTATTCATACCTTTTGTAACTTTCCTTCCTAAAACAGGCGAGTATACAAAGGAAAGCATAAAGCATGTTGGTACATCCAAAGAAATGATTAATCCTTAGCCAATTTTTTTTTCAGATGAAACTGAATTACACAGAACATTAAAAAAATGTAAACAGACTGGAAAGGACAAGCTGAAGTATTTCGATCCAGATGATCCCCTGCTGAACTTATCAATTAATTATTTGCCCTATGTGTATAAATAGGAAATGTTATAAATACCTCTCTGTCCTTCTGCTCATCCCTGTTGAATGTAAAGCACTGGTTCATCTGAAGAAAAGAGAAGTACAAAGCACAAAAAAGGGAGTCAGTGGATAGAAGAAGCAGACAAGTTTGTGTTATGTTATTTGTACCAATAAGTCGTTGTGTTTGCAGTAATCGAGCCATCCATTCTCCTATGTACATCGCTCAGCTACAACTAAGAAGATATGTCTTAGGGTCTTCTAATATTGTTTAATCTTGATCTTGCAATGTAAAGTGACTTGAGTTAACTTTTGTTTTGAACTGGCAATATATCAACAGAAATGAACCGAATAATCATAATACAAAGTAGAGAGAAAAAATAAAGAAGTAAAAATGTAAAAATGATCCACATCACATCATTTGAAATATGTGACAGCCAGTGTGCTGGCCTTGTTTTCTTGTTGCTTTCAGGTATCTAGTAGGTGGAGCTGACCCAATTTCAGCACACCTGAGAAAGCCAGTCCCCGGTGTATTATAAAGGTACTCTGACTGAACCTCTGGGTCGTTTCATTATCTGAATCTTAATGAACACCGTTTTCTGTATGAGAGTTTTCTAATGTTAGTAATCATATTTTTTCTTAGATATTTTAATTGAAGATAGGCTTCAAATTACAAAAAGAGCATGCTATCATCCATCCATCAATGCATGCAGAACATTAATGCATGCGTAAGCCTTCCAAAAGACATCTCTCCAGTGTGTCATATCTCTGTGTAGCTCCTCAGTCATTCAGGTCATGGTAGTCTTAAATGCTTGAAAAAAATAGGCAGATCGACTTCAGTTGGTAAAGACACCTCTCGTCAAAGAAGCATCTTCAGTTACAAAGTTACAAAGGTCCTTTCTATTGACTTGTTGTCTGGATTTACACAATTATCACAGATTACAAATGAGAACGTGAGCAACTTCCTTTCAGATGTTGTTAGTTTATATACAAATAGCCTCAGTACCCGATAAGCTGAGCCTCACTGTAGCTGTCTTTTGATGCTGACATCAAAAGAAACATGTCCATCACACATGCTGAAGTAGTCTGACCATTTACTAAAAATTAATCCACATCATTCACTTAATTCAAATACCGAGTTCTGAATTAAGGAAAATAAACATAAGTTATACCCATTATTTCATTAACGTGCCCCTACTAATATTTATGTTAATACAAATTCCCACAACTCCCAGAAGGCTGGAAAACTAGAGCAGACTAACTCCAGTCTACAACTCAGAATATGGCAGTGTCCTGTAACAACCACTAAGCTTCTGATCTGTACGAGCTCTTTGGTGAAGTAGGATTTAACTGGCCTGTAGCTAAATCTATTTGTGTATAAGAAAATCTAATCCTATTGCCTTTGAGATTAACTCCTACACAGTCTCCGTGCTGAGGAAGCCATGAAGCATGGTGCACCTGGGGTTTGCAGAATGTAACAAAACTCATGTGACTTCATATACATATAACATGTAGTTCCAACTATCATTTCTAACATTAACTGACCTGGATAGACACCAAGCTCAGTTACATGGTAACACTTGTGTTTGTGACAGTGTGGTTAGCTTCAGCTGGCTCAGGAGAGCTGACATCAAGCTGGAAGCCACTGTAGTCTGCATATATATGAGTATATATATAAATGTGTGTGTGTATATGTGTGTGTATATATATATATATATATATATATATATATATATACACACACACACACACACACACACACACACGAACATATACATGATGTGCTTTGACTTTGTAATGCTCAAAATTAATAGAATCAAGTTAAAACTGAGGGTTATCTAAAAACTTCAGCTTCAGGGTTTGAACGTTCACAACCATTGTGCCAAAAACAAAAGAAATTAGTGTATACTTGTTGACACTGAAACAGCAGGAGATAGATATACAAAGTTATTACAGTATTTCCAAGGATAAAGAACTGGACTGACAAGTATCATAAAGAAATTTAAAGAGAGCTGCACAGTACAGAGCAGGTTTTGCAGAGGTAGGAAGCAAAAGATTTCAAAGACTCTGGAAACAAAGCTAGTGAGAAATGTTTTTTAAAAACCACAGAACAACTTTCAAAGCACTGGTGAGTGATTGACCAAAATCATGAATTGTAGTATCAAAGGAGACCATCTCACGGACTGTGAGACTGCAAACTAAGAAAAACTCCACTTCTGCAGAAGTGTCAACTTCAAGCCAGACTGATGTATGCTAAGGACAACCTGGAGAAAGATTATGCATCTGAAGGTGTGCCTTTTGGGCAGATGAGACTAAAGTAGAGCTCTTTGCCATAAAGATGCTGCTTATGTTTGGAGAAATAAGGGTGAGGTTGTACACAATTCAGAACCCAAAGAACACGCAGTGGTGGAAGTATCATTCTTTGGGGATGCATCAGTTCGTGTGGACCTAGGAATGTTACGAAGGCAGGAGGAATCATGAAGAAAGAAGGATATTTGAAGATTTTGAAAGAAGTATTCAGCAGCAAAATTGGTTCTGGGTCATTGTTTTATCTTCCAGCATGACAACAACCCCAAACATGCATCACTCTTGGTGAAGAACAATCTCCAGAAGACCAAAGTGAACATTGATTCAGGAATTCAAGCCCTCAGTGGTAAATCAGAGTGGCTGTAGCTCAGGAGGTAGAGTGGGTCATCTACTGATAGGTGTGAATGGGTGAATAAGGCATGTTGTGTAAAGCATTGAGTGCTCTGGGAGAATAGAAAAGCACATGAATCAGTCCACCTGTTCAGTCCAATCCCATTGAAAAATCAATGGGGTGACCTGAAGACCAAAGACCACACCAACAAACAAATCTGGAGAGCCTGACAGATTTGCCAAAGAAGAATGGGCTGGGATTGATCAGTGTGCAAAGTAAAATAATGTAAGCATGTCAAATAAAAACTAGGATGTTTGGAAAAGCTATGTTATAAATTAATTACACTGAACAGTACACACTGAGCTATGACAGTATGTACTTTAGGTCCTTTAGCTTGTACTCTTTTTGTGCTTCCATACAATTAGAGGCTAACAAAACACTATATCTTAGAACAGTGGTAGGGAACTCCAGGCCTCAAGAGCCAGTCCTGCAGGTTTTAGATATCACCCTGGGTCAACACACCTGAATCAAATGATTAGTTCATTACCAGGCCTCTAAAGAACTTCAAGACATGTTGATCAGGTAATTTAGCCATTTAAATCAGCTGTGTTGGACCAAGGACACTTGGTCCAACACCAGAGTTCTAACTTAATAATGTACGTAGAGTACAAAGTAGTTACCTAAAATAACTAATCTAAAAAGTAATGATAATCCTGAGAGTTATAGATAAAATATGAATTAATATCATCAGTCTTAGAGTAAGCTTATGGTTTAAGGGAAGTAGTATAATGTGTTATGATAAGCTTGAATTTAAAATGGAAATAAAATATCTGTAATATCACTAAACATTGCAGCTGAAATCTTTGACATTTTACTGGATGTACCTCAGCACTGATCTTAAACATGATCTCATTATCTTCGAGTAACCGCTTCTGCTTCTCTGTCCTCTTTTTTTCTCTGTATCTAAGCGATGAATCCATTAATTACATTAATTTCAAAACTCCCACAGTGCTCTTTCCCATTACTCTTCAGTGTCCTGACACTGACTCCTTTCCAAGGTGTATCAGAGTTACAAGGAAATCACACATGTTAGAAAAACTGAAAGAGCACAGAGAAACCTCTCTAGATGGCTTGAGTTACGACATATGTACATGTCAGATTCTGCAAGAAATTAGGATTTAATCTCAGGCTAAGGAAGGCTTTGGTGTCCCCCTGGAAAACTGTGGCTGGCTGAGGAGAGGGACGTCTGGGCTTTTTTTCTTAGACTGCTGGCCTAGTGACACAAACCTGGATTAGTGGCAGAAAATGGATGCAATGGATGTAGATATTTGTGACAAAACTAACTTGCATTTCCCATTTCTATTTTTACGATCAGTGGCTCACATTAATTAAAAATAATTGTTTTCAACAAATATTTCTCTCTTTTCTTTTTACATTTCTTTCTGATTTTCTACCACATTATGAAACTGACTTGCCTGCAATTCAAACTGTGTCAGGCTCAACTCTTTGCATGTTGGTGATCACATAATAAAACTTGGGACTAAACTACCACAGAAGTTCAAAGGGTTAAGAGGGAATTAATAGGCAGCTAAATAGATTACACTTACTGTCAACTTATGCCACATCATTATTATTATTGAAATTATTATTTTGGTGCAATGAATGTCTCAACTTTGGGATAAATAAACCATGTTTTATCCTATGTAATATTCATTTATTATTTATTAAGTAATTTAGGTAATTTATGATATGGGTGGTTCTACCAATTTCCCAGCACCAACAGCAGATCCCACAATACTTGAATAATGTTGAGGTCCAGGCTCTGGGGAGGCCAATTCACATCCAGTGGAATTTGTGACGGCATTTCAGTGTGTCTTATATCCAGGTGTGCCTTTACTGCATTGTCAGCATATTCACTTTATCATTAAAAAAGTGAAAAATTAAGCCACTATCACACACTTTCCAGATGCTGTTGCACTGTGGGTCCAAATCTGATGGCACTCATTTTATTGCATTCATAAATGAATTCATAAATGAATTTTGACAAGATCCCCAGCACCACTGGCTAAAATCAGCCCGAAACCATAACATGCCTCCTCCATATTTTACCATAGACACTCACTGTACCTTTGTTGCAGCTCTCTCCTGACATCCTCTATACACACTGGCAATGTTTTAAACCAAAGATATCTACTTTGGATTCATCACTCAATAAGACCTGTTGCTACTGATTTTCAGTCCAGTTTTTGTGTAGTTTGGTGTAAGAATGCGTTGTTGACAGCCACACTTCCACTGAGACCATTTCTTTGGTAAACAGTAGATGGATCAAGGGTCAGATGCATCTCTCAGGTATGTGTCATGTTTATAGAATCAGCTAAAGAAACGGGAATGTGTTTTTACAACAGGCTATTTGTAACAAAGTTCCCAGTGATACAATTTATATTTGGATCTTTAAGTTCTCGTTTATTCCAGACACAGTACTGGTTCATCCCGTAAGTTAGATGTTTTTTTAAGCTTGAATGACTCATGGGTCAGTGCTCAGTTGCTTAACCATCAAAAACACATTGCTGTCATGTCAAAAATCTGTCAGGTACAAGGACTGGGCTGAAAATGAGTGAAAAGCAGCGAATTCCAAAGAAGAACTTTGAAAGACCCAGAGAAAGCCTTGAGAACTGTTGCTTAATATCCCTTTAAAATTACGAGGAAATCTGGCTCCGTGAAAGCAAAACATGAAGAAGAAGAAGAAGAAGGGGTGGCTCAATACACAATATCGTATAGGCTATTAAGATGTACAATGCAGCTTTAAACCCCATTTAATATAGTAAAGGTTCTACTTTTGAAGGCAGTTCTGATTTGGCAATTATTTCAGGATCATCTTCTGAATGGAAAGCGTTTCATAAACTCAAACAGCTGTTCTACAACGCACTGATTCCTCCCGATGTTGGAGGGCTGGTGTTTACCTGCTTGTTGTAGCTCTGTAAAGCCGTCAGAGCCGAGTCTTGGTCGCCCGTCTCCATCTCCTCTATAACGGTACTTAAATCCATGTTCATCATCACTGAGCTAGCTGCTGCTGCTGGTGATGATGATGAGGATGTCTGTATGTTTGTTCCCCGGACTGCGGATTCACGTTATGCTCCGTTACCTCTGACGGATGAAAGCATGACGTCTGAATCCCGACGATCTGATGAGAAGCGATTAGCGAACGGGGATTTGTGCCAGCCAAGTGCTGCGTTTAGAGTCCCAAGAAAAGACGGGAGAAATAAAATTTGTGATTATTTTTTTGTAAATGGAAAAGACAAGTGAGAATGTGGACCACAAGAAACGAGCAACATTAGACATCACTATATATGCAAAGTCTAACGACTGTAAAATAACGCTCCTCTCTCAGACTGCGGGCTGCTTGTGGTGTTCATCAGAGTTTCTAAAAGCAGTATTGGAGGCAGAGCCTTCAGCTTGAAGTGAAACTGTGAAGTGCGGCACACGTTAGACAAATGCGGGTCGGTGAGACTGAAACATCGTTCAGTAACTATTCTTTCATCATATCGAAGCTCAATGTGCTGGCTCAAAATTGTTGCAATTAATTGCAACATAAAGTAAGCCATCAATGACACTGCTGGATGTCCCCATAGTTAGTGGCGTTTCAATAAAAAGAATAGAAAGAAAGAAGTGAAAATAAAATAGTGATATTTATTATTATTCTATACATGAGCAGTGAAATTGAAGAATTTGCAGTGCTTTAATAATGTAGACCTTTTTGAAGCCACAAAACAACTGAGAATGAATTCCACATACATTGTATTTTGAATTGATGTATCACTGATGCCATTTTAGAAAGCCCAAAAGTTTCGATTATCCTTTAAAAAGACAAACGGCCTTTGTGTGCAAGATTTTCCAATCGGTAACCTGAGCGATAGTGAGCAAGTCAGTGCAAACATGTGAGAAAAAAAATTCATATCAAACCGACTCTGAGCTGTTCCACAGTCCTCACTAATGTGGCAGTAGCCAGTCCAGTGAATTGAAAGTTGAGCAGAATCTTCTTTTTACTGATAATTCAATTTAATAACACACAATAATAGCACATTATCAAGTGCTGCTCATATGCCATTCTCTGATATACTATTTAAACTGACATCATAAAGCGCTTTGAGGTTACTGTTGTTGTTGTTGTTAACTGTCGCCTTGTAAATAAAATTACACTAACACATACCTAAAAGATAAACACGTTCGCTTTAGGTAACGAGGGTCTGCGCTCTTTACACTACCGCCATCAACTGGGCGTTTCTCGAACGAGACGTGGGCGTGCGTGTACGCTACTTAGTGTGCTCGATTTAAAATTCAAAGCAAACGCGCGTGCGGGGTGAAGGTTTTATGTTACCCGTAGTTTACCAAAATACAGTTATCAAGTAGATGAATTACACTACATTAAACCTTCAATTTGTTGTGTTACCACATGAGTCTAACTGTTTTGCTTAAAATTTGATAAACGGTATAAACCCCGTTCTTCCGGGACAGTATACATATACTCTGTGTAAATGACGTCTTGACGAGACACGCACCTTGTCCAATAAAAGCTCACGACCTTGTTTGAGCGACAGGATTCACAACCAATAGTTTTGCGGAAATCGTTTGATTGACAAGCATTGCAGCTGGAGTGGGGGAAGGGGTCGATGAAGTTGACGGAACCGCCATCTTGAAAAGTGCTCTCCGAAGATCTACATTTTCGCGCCTGTTAGAAACAGTTTTAAACGCTTTATTTTCCTTGCCAAAATTTCATCTTAGCTCTGTCTTAGTATCGCTAAGGTCCGAGGCTAATGTTAAGATAAGCTACATGCTGGAGAGTCGGTGTTTACCCTTGTCTATTGGTAGGTACAACTGCAAGCTCATACACTTGGTGCTGAAGAGACGATTAGCCAGCAGTCTTTAGATAGCCGGCTAACGTTAGCTGGCTAGCAAAGAGCATACTTGGCCATCTTATCACTGCGCTGTCAGGCTGTGGTTTTTTTAAGCTAAGAGGAGGCTAACGTTAACATGACACATTAGTGTTTTAAGGTACCTCGGGATCATATTTTGATTTTATTGTCAAACCTGTCAGCCAGTTAATATTACCTTCATATGTGACATATATTAGGGTAACTGGTTGAGTTCGATAGTACGGGGTTAGCTAACAATAGCTAGTGACGTTCCTTGTACCGGTGTGTTGTCTTTAACGCCTGCACCGTTAGTGGTAGATAGGTTTGGGCCTTAGGATGTAAACGAACTGGTAATGACGTGAATTAAAAAGGCTGCTGTGTTGATTCGTGTTTAGCCGAAATTAAAGCTAACCGTTAACTTTGCCTTCGAAGGTTGGTTAGCTGAAATTAAATACAGCCAATAACGATTGCGTTAAATGACTGCCTTTACACATACTTAAGGAAATTCTTCTTATTTTTTTAAACTGCTCAGTCTGTTGGTTCGGAACAGATAGTCAAGCCCAGATGAACCAGGTGATTCTGGGTGAATACTAAGTATTGCCACCCAGCTAAAATGTGATATCTTATTGCATGTGTATAGTTGTACTACATAGGCCTGAAATGTAGGTAGAGTGGATATTTAGATTGATTTTATTACGGGCTCGTAATGTTTATGTGCCTACGGTATTTTTATTATTTTCGCTCTATGGCGTATGTTCAGCTGTTTTGGGGAGTGATAGTTTTATCAAAATATAGGCGTTTTATAGTGTGAGTGTAGTGCAGTTTTTGTGTCAGTTGCATTGCTGAGTTAACACAAAATTCATAATAGCAGAAATATAATCGGCATCCAGATGTCTAGCCGCACTTGATTTGTCAAAGTAGTTTGGGGAGTCACAGCAGCCGGTATCCTCTATGTTTATTACACGCAGTTGCTACAGTCTCTTGGTAACAAGTCACTGTTCTGAATATAAGTAGGAAGGTGCTTTGTACAGTGGGTGAGCTTGTGATTATAGGTTGTCTGTGGTACAGAACGGGTAATTAGAAGACCTTTTAGGTGGGGAATCAATGAATAGGTCAAATGATGAGAGACTGCTAGTCACAAAGTGTTTAAAGATGCATACAATTTAAATTAGGTCTTTGCTAAGCGATTTATCTGGAGAAGTACTGCTCAAAGTTAGTTTAAAAATTAAAAGAAGGTTTACCTCCTTGAAAGCAAAATAAAAAGAAATGGGAATGGATTAATACCTCTCTACAGTAATGTACCGAACTGGCACACATCTCAAGAGTGTCAACAACAAATTTTCAGAATAGTTGCTAACAAGAAGCTTTAGTTTAATGTAACTTCAAACTTACGTGAATATAGATGAAATCAGAGAAAAGCTAAGATTTTGACAAATTTTCACAGGGATTTAATCAGACATAATCATATCATTAAGTCAGGGCTCTAGCATTGAAGAGAAGTGGACTGAAAGATGGCTTGAAAATAGAGGGTATTTACATTGGTCTTGATGGGTATTGTTTGTCACTTTTTCATATCTTTATTGCATGTTCATGAAGTTGTTTGACAATAAAAACTGAAAAACGTATACAAATAAGAGCATTTCCTTCAGAGTATTCGTATTATACACATTCTTAACATGGGAAAACCAGGACATTGCAGCTTAGTTTAATTCCAGCCAATAGCAGCACTTCAGGCATTGTCATTGGCTTTTCATATAGTCTGTCAAAACATGGATTGAATGAGCTGTCACTTTTATAATGACTAGAGCAGGGCGATATGGCCAAAAATATTTATCACGATATATATTTGAAAATTTGCGATAACGATATAACTGACGATATAATTGATGCGAGTCAAAATACAACTCCACAACATTACTAGCGCAAAAAGACAACCTTCCATTTATTTTCACTTCAACAAGAAGCTGGTTTTTATGTACATTAAAGCTTTATAAAAATGTAACAGTGCAAATGCAAATTCCTTGCTGAAAGTTTAACCAAAAGGCATTTCCAGTAGAAATGGGCTGACATATCTTGAGCATAACCATGTATAATATCCACTGAAGTTAGAAAGAGGTGCTTTGCAACATTAAACTGCAGTGTGCAGTACGTATTTTTCGGACCATAAGGTGCACGGGATTATAAGGCACATTAATCGAAACAAAGCAGTCAGATAAATCAAACTTTATTAAACTCATTCTTCTTGCTTCCTCCACTTCTGTACCATTGATCCATTAATGTTGAATTCTCTGGCAGCTGCTCTATTCCCATGTTGTTGCAGTATAACTAACCTCGTATTGTGGATGGATTATCTCCGTTGTATGATGAGAAAGAGACTGGGGAGTTTATTTATTTTTATATAAGATGAACGGTTAAAATAGTAATAATTGAGAATTTGTGCCTTTTTGTTCTTTAACTAGAGAAAGGTCGCTCTTTGTATGTGTGAGATTTCTAAATGCATGTAAGTTATTGTAGATTTCTTATTATTGGTGTTTAATGCCAGCTGGTTAGCCTCAGCTGGTAGTCATCTTGGGCCTTAGGTGGGCTACTGATACATCATTGACATTGTCTCTTTGACTCGACCACTGTTTAATTAAAAAAAAAAAAAAAATCCAAAAACAAAAAAAACCTATTCAAAACATGCAAAGAAAATCTGTGTAGCAGCAGTAAAATGTCTCCAAAATGCTGGTTCTTTCCTGTTGGCATTCTCCACGTTATGATAGCTCTCTGTAGCAACCAGTGTGTAGTAAACACAGAACAATGTAAAATGGATCAGGAGGTTGTCACCACTATCCAGTCCAGCTTTTTAAGTCAGGATGAGATGGATATCTGATCCAAATGTTGGGTGGGGGTATTCTTAAAGCCTTTAAGTTATGTAAGCACTTCTAAATGCTGCTGACTATAAGGCTAAGTTCACACTGGAGGTCTTAATGCTCAATTCTGATTTTTTTTTTTTTTTTTTTTTTTTTTTGTCCAGTTGTTCACTGGATGGCCAGGAAGCGTTCACAATGTCTTTTTGATTGTCTTCTCCGGCGCTGATAATTAGCGTCTGTCTTGTGTCAGTGACGTAAAAGACTGATTTAATGCGACGTGACCCAGGTCGGATTTGAAAAAATTGGATTTGTGCTGTTCAAACTGTTATACCATGATCGGATATGTGTCGCATGGGGTCAAAAAAAGTCAGATTTGATGGCTTTTCCCCGCAGCACGCCGTATAATAAATACTCACAAAGAAAACTGTGGCTGTTTCAACTTATGTAACACTGGACTCCAGGTACACGACGCCAGCTGAAAACACTTCACTCAAGTCGAGTTGCCCGAGATTCACAGAATTTACAGAAAATGTAAAATTTTTGTGATATATATCTGTGTCGGGACGATAAGTGTCTTATATCGGGATATGAGACTTTGGTCATATCGCACAGCCCTAATATATGCCCATCTGCTTTTGTCTTTCTCCCACAGGTGTGTTCGTGTTGAACTGCTGTATGTGCGCTTTTTGTGAGTGTGTCCATTACCACTATCTGCCTGCTTGCCCATCCGTCTGGTCAGCCTGGAATGGGCCACAACTCCCAAAGACTAGAACAAACCTCTTTTTAACCTGAGCTTTGCTGTGAGGACTCCAACATACTCACAGGTGAGCTGAAATAAGAACTGTTACTCTGTTACCCTTAGTAAATCATTGCCCCTTAGATGAATCTCGATTGATAATGTTTCATTTTTGTGCTCATTTTAATGACTCACTTTTGCCCACAATCTGTTTTAACATATTTGTGTCCTTTTTTCATATATATGTATGTATGTATGTATTAAAGAACCAACATGTTTTGGAAATTTGACCTCCACACCACATCCCACATTGACACACTGCTGGAGAAGGAGGATGTGACGCTTACAGAGGTAATGGATGAGGATGATGTCCTGCAGGAGTGCAAGGCCCAGAATCACAAACTTGTGGACTTCCTACTGAGACCACAGTGTATGGAGGACCTGGTTACCTTTATCACACAGGAACCCAGTACTGATGTTGAGGAAAAGGTTAAATACAAGTAAGGAAATGGTTATTAATTTCACAGTTTGACGAAGATGTATGTTGACATCAGGAACATTTAACCTACAGGATGTAGTTTTTCTGTAAACTTATCTGTGGTGCTAAATCAAAGTTGCGTAACTCCAGTGTCTAGCAAACTGCTGACATGTCCACAAAAGTTGAAATGTTAGCAAGTTTGTTCACAAGGCCGGAAGAAATTGGTCAAACTGAGATTTGGGAGCTTTTCCCCAAACTTCTGATTATGTGGGAAAATCCAGTTGGGAAAGCTTCACATCCAGTAGTCTGCTTTAAAATCACTCATTGCTTTAAATACTATGGTATTACTTGGACATATGGCTCCCACTTGAGCTATATGAATTCACAGGAGAATT